GCACACACGCACATACACACACACACACACACACACACACACACACACACACACACACACACACACACACACACACACACACACACACACACACACACACACACACACACACACACACACACACACACACACACACACACACACACACACACACACACACACACACAGCCCTGCGAGCGGGGCGGGGTGCCGCGCGCCCTGTGCCTCGGGTTCGTGCGTCGCCCATCTCTCTCTCCGGGAGATGAAATAAATAAAAACGGACACCTCTCTACTGTGAGATGGGTAAAAAGGAACAGGTCCCCGCCCGTGCGATCTTTGTGCAGGGTTCTTTGTGGGTGTGGTCGGCGACTAGCCGGGGTCGTCCTCCCGACGGTGGACTATAGCACTCTAACCGTCTTCCACATGGTCCCTCGGGTCCCTGCTGCTCCTAATCTCTTCGTACCATCCTCCTGCTGATCTCCGCAACGTCCTGCTCCCTCCCTCGTCTCGCCCTGCGCGTCTGCTCCGCCTCCCCGTCGTCTGCCCTGCGTCGTCTGGCGACGGGGGTCCTCCATAGTCGGTTGAGGTCGCCGCCCTCCTCGTGCCTCTTCCCAACATTCCCTCGGCGGCCGATGCCGTCTGCTCCGACTCCCCCGTCCCCGGGTCTGCCACCTGCTCTCGCCTGCGCTAGTTTCTGTTTCGTCATCACCGGTGTCTCTCCTCTTCTTTCTGTTCTCCTCTTCTTGTATGCTTTGTACATCGCGTCGATTGCTTTTCGCGTGAGCACCACCCTGAAGCCCGCCCAGCAGCTGTACCGCTCCCTAAGTCGAAGGAGCATCATCAGTCTCACCCACACTTCGCTCGCTGCCCACTGTCTCCGCTCCCTCCCGCTTGAGCCGCCGTCGCGGCCCTCGTTCGTCCCACTGGCTGCTGGCCTGTCCGCACGTTACCTGCGTTATCCCTCCTCCTCCGCGACTACGTGCGACTCCCTCAAGGCCGGCCGGGCCTCTTTCCACCCAGTGAAGAGCTTCCTCAGCCACTCGATGTGTTCCTCTCTCTTCATTATGCGCGCCGTAGCCTCATCATTGAGCTGGATCCACCTCTGCACCGCTCCCCGTAGCCCGCGTAGCCGTAGGGTTGCCTAACGTTAATTTGGGGCCTAACACAGTTGCGCTATTGTTGGCTGAAATCCTCAACGTTGTTCAAGTGTTCACCCCAGCCCATGCTGTTACTGTTTGTTACTGTTGTTACTGTTGTTCAGCGGCCAGCAAGCAGAAAATGGCAAAAAACCGGGTAAAACCCGAAAATACCTGGGTTTTCCCGGGTAATTTTCGGTATTACCCGCACTGGACCCTGGAGATCGTCGTGGGTCACTGCCAGGCCTTCCTTACTGTTGTTCAGTCGGCCTAACGTTAGCTACTGTTGTTGGGGAGCCCCACTGTTGTTCTGTTGTTACTGTTAACACTAGCAACACTGTCTTCAGCTCCTAACGTTACTCGTTAGGCAACCCTTACGGTTACGCTCTATCCCGTCGGGGGGGCCGCCCCTCGGCCCCACGACTATCGACTTGCAAGTTCCTCGTGACCCCGGCGCCAAGGACGAGCAAGGTCCCTCCGGCTCTTCTCCGAGAGGTCATCTACTGTACCAGTGCTGCTGCTGGCAACACCCCTCCGGGAGATGTGTCTCGGCTCTATTTTCGATTTATATATACCGGAGATTCGCTAAGGGCCCTAAGCATACTAAGCTGCGCCCTGCCGCTGCGCGCCGCGCGAACCTGCCAAATCACGTGAGTGCGCGAGAAACCCGCCGCGAGCGGGGTGATCCCTAGACGCTAGACCCTACTGCAGGAGCCGCATTGGTATGCAAAACATTATTTTAATAACCCGCGAGCGTGGAGCTTCGCTCGCCGCAGCCCGCACCCCGTCGCTGCGCGGGATTCTCTCTCGCTCGAAAGTCGTCGAAACCATCAGCACATCATGATCAAACGAGCGTCCCACGCGGCCGGAGGGCGGCGCGTGCGGCGGCGGCGGCGAGGGCCAGAGTGAGGGCGGCGACCGCCGCGGAGTTCCAGTCCCACGGCCTTGCCGCCATCGCCATCGTCGCCGGCGCGCTGTCTGCGTGGGCGGGAGCGCGCTTCTCCTTCTGCCGCGCGCCCGCGCTGCTCCGCTGCGGCCGCTCGTCGCCGTGGCTGCCCCCGCCGGCGAGGCCGGCGCGGTGGTGGCGCTCCACCAAACAAGGCCGCTGCGGCGGCGTCGCCTCGGCCGAGAGGCTCCCGGGCCGGAAGGGCGGCGGGCGGCTGTCGAGGAGGCGTGCGAGGGCCGCGGAGCTGCGAGAGAGCTCCTCGACGCAAGCGGCGATGAGGTCGGGCACGCTGCTCGCCGCGAGGCCCTCCTTGTCCTGCAGGCGCGCGGAGACGGCCTGCTTCCACACGCGGGCCGCGGGAGTGTTGTAGAAGAGGCCGGTCAGCGGCGTGAGCAGCGAGCGTGCAGTCTGCTCCCGGCTCGTGCCCGCCCAGTTGGCCTCGGCGGCGGCGAGAGCGTACTCGGAGTAGGCGCGCAGCACCTCGCGCCGCGTCGGCGGGTCGCGCGAGCCGCAGCGCGCGCACACCCCTCCCCCCTCCCCCCACCCCTCCCCCTCCCCAAAGGCGACGCCCAGCGCGGCGCGCGACCCCGCGAACATGTACGGGTCCGCGTTGGCGCGCCGGCCGATCATGACGCCGTGCGCTCCGGCCTGCAGGAGGGCGGCGGCGTGCTCGAGCGAGCCGACGCCGCCGTTGATGGAGAAGCGCAGGTGCGGGAAGTCGTCGAGCAGCGCGAAGGCCCACTCGTGCCTCAGAGGCGGCACGGAGCGGTTCTTGGCCGTGTCGAGTCCGAGCAGCGCCGCGCGCGCGTGCACGACGAAATGGGCGACTCCGGCGGCGGCGACGAGCTCGACGAAGCGGTGGAGCGCCGCGTACGAGTCGTGCTCGTCCACGCCGAGCCGCATCTTGACGGTGACGGGCAGCGACACCGCCGCGCAGAGCGCCGCGCAGCAGGCGGCGACCGTCTCTGGCTCGCGCATGAGGCGGGCGCCAAAGCAGTTGCGCGAGCGGCCGCGCGTCTGCGCGGGGCAGCCGCAGTTGAGGTTGATCTCGTCGTACCCCTGCGCCTCGGCCAGCCGGGCGGCGCGCGCGAGCTTCTGCGGGTCCGAGCCGCCGAGCTGCAGCGTGAGCGGCCGCTCTTCGGCGCTGAAGCCGAGGACGGCGCCGAGGCCGGGCCGGCAGGCGTTGGTGTTGAGCGCAAACTCGGGCTCCGACGGCGCGTTGTACAGGATGGCGCGGTCCCAGGTCATCTCGCTCCACAGGTGCGGGCTGGCGCCCGGCGCGATGATCCGGATCAGCATGCGGAAGTGCCGGTCGGTGACCTCAATCATCGGAGCGACGGAGAGGGCGTGCGAGCGCTCCGGGGTCGCACAGCAGGGGCAGCTGGGGGTTGGGGTCGCGGCAGCCGCAGTCTCAGTCATATCCGTCATTGAGTTCACGCGGAGTGGGGCTATACCAGGCGGCCGTCATTGTGTGGGTTAGAAAGAAGCCGCGCGCTTTCTTTTTCTGCCTGGAAACTTCGCAGTGCAAGCAGCACCGGTGCAGGATCGATCCGTCGCGTTGCCCGTTGGGGCCATGATGGCGGCCAGGATCCGTCGGCTCGAGACGCAGCTCCAGGAGGTTGACACGGCGCTTGCCGACTCGCCCCCGCCTCCCCCGCTCGGCCGCGAGGTCAGCGGGGCGGATGTTATCGTCACCATCGGCACCAGCGCTTTGGTGGAGCAGGTCGCGGACGTTGTCCGTCGCATCGAGGAGGTGGTCAACCAGGCGTACACGTACCGCCGCGTCTCGCGCGCGGACGTGCGCGACCGGCTCGCAATGGGTGACGCCGGGCTCCGCGCCAACCGAGTGCTGCACCTGGCGTGGCGCGGCGATGAGCTGCTCGGCGCCTGCTCCTCGACGTACCAGCCGCCGTGGACGCCAGAGGGCTGCGGCCACTGGGGCCTCCTCTCGGTTATTCCCGAGGCGCAGTCGACCGGCGTCGCCTCTGCGCTGGTGCGCGCCGCCGAGTTGCGGCTTGCCGCTGCGTGCGAGATGATCCAGATCGAGTACGAGTACACCCCGGGCGACGAGTACTCTGGCCGTCTGTTGCAGTGGTACGAGGGCAAGTGCGGCTTCGAGTGCCCGTCCGGCCCTCCGAGGAACGACAGGAGGTACACGCAGTTCCGAAAGTGCTTCAAGCGCGTCGGGCCAGAGCTGTCGGCCGCCGGCCGGCATGCGCATCTGACGGCGATGCGCGCGCACATCGAGCGGGAGAAGGGGCGGCTGGAGGCGGAGGCGGAGGCGGCTGGAGGCGGAGGCGGCGACGCCTGCGAGGGCGCGCTGGTGGGGAGGAGCGTGGTGGTGTGCGGGCTGCGCAGCGCGCGGCAGCACAACAAGAGCGGCGGCGTGGTGGTGTCGTGGGACGCGGCGCGGGGCAGGTATGCGGTCCGGCTGGCCTGCGGGGAGCACCTGCTCCTCAAGGAGGAGAACCTGGAGTGTGACGAGGAAGGAGGGGAGGAGGGCGACGAGGAGAGCGACGAGGAGGGCGACGAGGAGAGCGACGAGGAGAGCGAGGAGAGCGCCAAGCCCGAGTAGGACCCATGCGCACCCCTCGTACAGTGCCTGTACACTATTGTACCACCCCGCACCCGTGTGAGATTCAGCTTGCGTGTGCCGGCGAGTGTGGTGTGGGGCCCTGGGCCGAGCCGTGTCCCCATGTGATTGTGGGTGTCGTCGGTGTGGGGGGATATTCCTCTATGAGCTCTCTGCACTCTGGACAGACTGGAGCGTGGGACTGGAGGGGACAGCGCAGGGACTCCAGCGTCCAGGGAGCAGGGTAACGCACGTACGGCTTTACACGTACAGGGAGCAGCAGCAGAGGGACTGTGGGCACAACGCAAGGTGCGCACCGCGACGCGCACTATACGGCGCGACATACTGTGCCGCACCAGCCACCACGAGACCGATACGTTCTCGCACACGCAGAGAGCTGAGAGGCAAGCAGCAGGGCACCGCACACCGGTCACCGCTCCACACGAATCAAACAGAAACACCCAACGGACGCCGACGGGACGCCAAAGACGTCGTGGCACTGCTAAACACACACATCTACGGCACAACACGTCACATCTACGTACTACTTGGCGGCCGCTCCAGGCGCTCGGTACCCCACCTTGACTCTCCCCTTCCCTCCGAAGTTCTGCTCTTCCAATCATCGACATTTGCTCACGCCCTAGTCGTTTCGTTCACCCCGCGATCCGCAAAAGGCCGCCTGGCTCGCGCCCGCGTGCTCGCAGCCCCGCGGCTCGAAGAATGTGCGTCGCCGTACCCTCCAGCGCGTCTCGTCGCACGCCAAACACATCAAAGAACATCGACGGATACGCAGCGCTGTAGAGTCTGTCCCTCTCCCACTGCCGCCGTCCGCGGCCATCCTGCTTGCAGGTGCAAAGCAGCCGCTCATACGCCTCATTGATGTCCTTGAAAGCCTGCTCCGCCTCCTCTCGATGGCAAGGGGGGTTCCGGTCCGGATGGTAGAGGAGCGCTCGCTGGCGGAACGCCGCCTTTAGCGTATTCTCACAAACTCCAGGCGCTACACCGAGGACGGAGTACGGATTTCGCTCGACAGAATAGGACGTGGACGCCATCCGAGAGTGAAGAAGAGGAGAGACGCCAGCTGCCGAGAGCGAAGAGGAGGGCGGAGCCGGCTTCCCCACGGAAGCGCCTGGCAACTGGAGGGCCGCCCAGGCATTGTTTAGAGAAGGGTGTCCGGTCGGTCAAATGGCACCCCCAGAGGAGAAAAAGAAAAAAGCTGAAGTGCCGGCTCGGTGCCTTGGCTGCGTCTACGACAACACATGCTCCGCCCGACGATACTGCTCTCCAGCCGCCGCTGCATCAGCACGGCTGGCTGGTCGAAACTCGAGTCCGGCGCTGCCGTCGTCATGAGTGATTTAGTCAAGCGTGGCCAGACCGTCGCCGTCGCCGAGACGACCTCTGGCGGGCTCATCTCAGCGGCGCTCTGGTCGTCGCCGCTCGGTCCGCAGGCCTTCAAAGGGTCTGGCATTCGGCTGGCCTACGGAATTAACCGCTCGGCCGATAAGGAGGGTGTCGCCAGAGCGAGAGAGCACATCGCCACCAAGATGGCGCCAGAGTTCGCAGACGTGCAGAGCCCGCGCCTTCGGGCAGTTGGGATGGGCCTGGTCTACGAGGACGGCGTCGAGCACAGTGAGTCGGGCTCCGCGGCACATGCCCTCGAGCTGGCGCACGCGGCAAAGCTCAACCTCGGCACCGATTGGGGAATCGGCGAGTCGAGCGTGCCAGGCCCCGATCCGCACCGCAGAACCGGCCTTTTGCCTGGAATGGGATTCGTGGCTGTCGCCGGGCCGAGCCCAGAAACGACGGGCGTGCTCAAGGTGGGCCCGTCCGACGACAAGCGCAGCGTAAACATGCTGCGTTTCGCGCAGGCCGGCGTCGATTTGATGCACTGGCTCATGGAAGGAGAGTCGAAGGGCAAAGTGTGAGAGGCGATCGCGGGTGCGGGAGACCCGTCGTCGCTCTCGAGGCACGAGCGAGAGAGCGGGCGGTTGTGCTCTTCGGGGTCCATTCGGGAAAAAGGCGCGCAGCTTCCGCGCCGCGGGAATGTGGTATGTGGATGAAGAAGAGGTCTCTGATGTAACACTACACCACATTTTGTCGGCCAGCCCTGCTTATTCATTTATCCCGCACCGACATGACCCACCGGCACCGCGCGATACATACATGTACATGTGTGCATGACACACCTCGAACACATTCGGAGTTCGTACTGCTAACTGACGTAGCGGAAGCCCTCCTGCATCATGCCGCCATCGATGCCGACGACCTGTCCTGTGATGTAGCCGGCGGCGCGCATGGCGAGGAAGGCCACGGTGCTCGCGACCTCGCACGGCTCCCCCACGCGCCTCAGCGGCGTCGCCCGCCGGACCGCGTCGTGGAAGGGCTCCTGCGCAAGCAGCGGCGCCGTCAGAGGCGTCCGGATGAACCACGGAGCGACTGCGTTGACGCGGATGCCGTCGGGCCCCCACTCGCACGCCAGGTACCTCGTCATGTGTTCGAGCGCCGCCTTGGTCATGTGGTAGACTGCGCCGGTCGCGTCGTTCGACGAGCCAGACACGGAGCTCACACTCACCACGCAGCCCCGCGCCCTCTTCAGGGCGCTGTGACAGCCGCGGCTGAGGTGGAAGGCCGAGGCCTGGTTGGTGGCGTGAAGCATCTCGTACTCGTCGTCCGTGTAGTCGACGGACGCCTTCCTCAGGTTGGTACCCACGTTGTTGACGAGGACGTCGAGGCCTCGCGCACCAAACCGCGCCTCCACCTCGCTCACCAGCAACGCACGCCCAGAGGCCGTAGACACATCCGCCTCGATCGCGATGCAGCGGCCACCAGCTTCGCGGCTCAGCAGATCAGCTAGCGGGGAGACATCACGCGCGCAGGTGAGGACCGTGCAGCCGTGGTCCAGGAGCTCCTCCACAATGGCACGCCCCAGACCCTTGGAGCCGCCGGTGACGACTGCTGTGCGATCTGCCAAATTCCACAAGCTGCGGTCGCCGGCAGCGGCGATGGCAAGCGCGATGGAGAACATAGATGTGCGCAGGATTGACTTCAGCGGGTGCAGGAGGATCGACTGATGGGCCGGCAGGGAAAAGAATTTTGAGGGGTTGTAGCTCTTACAAGGGACCGGCAGGCGGCGGCGTCACAGGACGAGGCAGAAGGGAACGACGCGACAGAGGAGGAAATGACAAGGGAGAGAACGACGAGAGTGGGACGACCGCGAGGTGGCATGAAGGTTGCAGCGAGAATCGGAGAGAGACTGCGAAGAGAGATAGGAAGAGGCAGACTCCCTAGTCCGGACCTGGTGCTACGGCCGGTGACAGTGTGCCTCGTGTCGGCTCCCGAGCCAATCGTGTGCAGCGTGTGTGTGCGTGTGGGCCCGTCCTCCATGCTTGGAGGTGTGTAAGACTGACTGACTGACTCTGATCTCTGAAGACTGTGAGGCGAAGAAAAGTGTACTCGAAATCTGCCCTCAATCTGCCCTCAGCTCACAAAGAATTATTAAACACACAAGTCTCTCTCACAGCACACTGGCACGGGCGTGGACTGGCGCAACATCGCTCTGTACTTGGACGCGGCAAAAGAATTCCACCGCCGCCCAAGACGTGGCGGGGCTAGCCCGGCGGCGACAGACAGGCTCTCTCGCGACTCTGGCTCCGGTGTGCCACGCTAGCGTCGCCCAACTAAACTCTTAGTTAAAAGACCTCGTCTCCACCGCAGACATCGTCGCGTTGGGTGCGATTGTGCCGCCGGCTTGGAACCATGCGTTGGCAAGCGCTCGCGCGGAGGCTGCTGCCTCCGCGCTCGGCGGTGGCGGCGGCGGCGGCGGCGGCGGCAACTGCCGCGGTCGCTGTCGCGTACACCGAGCCACGGCTGCGGGCGGCTGAGCCTGACCACATCTTTGTGATCAATGGCTTCTACATGGCGATGCGCGAGAAGTACACAAAGCCCGGGGCGTCGATCCACTACTACCTCGTCGAGTGGGAGCCTTCGGAGCTGGCGTGGTTCGACTTTCGGATGAACGTGCTCGGCTCGACCGACCCCGCGGCAGCGCAGCCCGGCTCCCTCCGGAACATCATCTACTCGGACTGGCGGGCGCTCGGCCTCGCGTCGGAGCCAAACGTCGGCGACAACGGGGTGCACGCGAGCGCGTCTCCCTTCGAGGCGATGTGCGAGCGGTGAGGTTCGCCGGGCGAGAGAGCCGGCGTGGCGCGAGGGTCGCTGAGGCGCGTCCTCCCGCCGCAGGCTGAACTGGGTCGGGATGCCTCTCGAGGAAGACTCGTTTGGACGCGCGCTGCTGGACGCCGGCATCCCACGGGCGAGATGTAGCCGAGGAGTAGCCGAGGTGTAGCCGAGGTGTAGCCGAGGTGTAGCCGAGGTGTAGCCGAGGGAGCCGGCATCCCGCGTGCGGGCTCGCCCCAGGTCGGCCGGCCGTTTCTGCCCGTGTGCAGAGAGAGAGAAGGCTCCGGCAGACGGAGGGGCGAGGGCAGGAGGTGCGCGAGACTAGGCGACGATCCTCGAGTGGACAAAGGACCCGCAGGTGGCCTTCGAGGGGAAGAAGCAGAGCCTCTTCGACGCGCTCGAGGACAGCGGATACGCAGAGTGCCTCGCAAAGGCGCAGGCGATCGCAGGCGTGTCTGGCGCCATCCCCGAGGGGAAGATGCAGGCACCGCCCCTCCCCCTGCACCTCCACCCGCACCCTGCTGCACCACCCGCACCCTGCTGCACCGCCCTCCCCCTGCACCTCCACCCGCACCCTGCTGCACCACCCGCACCCTGCTGCACCACCCGCACCCTGCTGCACGCCTCTCCCTCTGCTCCCTCTGCCGCGAGCAGGCCTTCGTCTTCATCAAACCGCACGCGGTGACTGGCGCCACCCAGACGCTGGTCGCGCGCAGCCTCGCGGAGGCGGGCGTCAAGATCTACGCCGAGGGTGCGCCTGGATGAGGATGATTTATGAGTGAGAACGATGGCGAGAAGAAGATGATGAGAATACAGATCTACGCCGAGGGTGCAGCACCTGCGGCAGAGAGGGGAGGCCAGGCGAGGGAGGGAGGCGAGGGAGGGAGGCGAGGGAGGGAGGCGAGGCCAGGCTGAGGGAGGGGGGCCGGTCGTGGGAGGGGGGCGGCTTGTGCGGGAGGGGAGAGGGGCTGCTCAAGCCTGCGCGTGTGGGCTGGTGGCAGGCGAGCTCGACGCTGCTGCCATCGAGCGGGACAGGCTGATCGACAACCACTACTACGCCATCGCAAACAAGGCGGCTCGACCCTCATCGTTTGTGATCGCGCTTCTGGTTCTTCATCGGTTTCCTACTCCTTTCAGGCGTCCCTCACCCAGCCGCGCGACCTCAACCCGCCAGCGGCGAAGCAGGAGGAGTTCCGCCGCAAGTTCGGCATCGCGTGGCGCGACGCGATCGAGGCGCGTGCCAAAGGGCCGAGGGGCCGCATAGCCCGGGGGAGGGGGAGGTGGAGGGAGGGCGGGGGGGGGAGGGCGGGGGGGGGGGAAAAGGTGGCCCCTCCAGTGCCTTATATCTCCCCATATCTCCCCATATCTCGTGCCCTATGCCGTGCGCCTCGCCAGCCGCTGCTCCGGCTCGGTCAGGCGGGTCTCGTGTACAATGCCGTCGACGGCTGCAAGAGGCTCGCGATCGGCGGCTCCGCCATGGACGCAAAGTGGGCCACCGCCAAGAAGGAGCGAGCCGCTGCTAGTGCCCTCCCGCCACCTCCCGCCACCTCCCGCCGCCGGACTCGCCTCTGGCCGCGAGTGGTCGCACCGCCGCCGCCCTGCACCCTGGCCCGCCGCCTCGAAGGCGTCTCGCCTCCGCCTCTGCAGGAGGGCGCACTCGTCAAGTTCGGCGGCGGCTTCTACGCGGGAAAGATTGGCGCGGACAGCGCCTCTCCCGCCAGCTGGGCGACACCGCTGCTGCTCTCGCTCTACGCGCTGCTGGGCGGGCTCACGAAATGAGCGTACTTCCGCCTCCCTTCCGTCTTCGATGCGTGACGGGCGTGAGGCTGCGTCGCCCGGCGCCGCAACCACTTCGCTTCGCTCCGTCTCAACCTCAATGAATCTAGCCGTGCTGCGTGATCCGTCGGTGGTTGCACGCGCCTCGCGGCCTCCACTCGCGACTCGGCTCGTCTCTTCGGCTCTCGACGTCTGATCTCTCTCGTCTCTCTCGTCTCCTCTGCCCCTCCGCGTCTGGGTCCGTCTGCGTCTCCACTCTCTCTCTGCCTCTGCGGCCGCTTATCGACGTCGTGACACACATCCGCCGTCTCGGGTCTCTCGGGACTCGGCGTCGGTCCCGCGCAATGTTCACGAGTTTTGGTTGTTCTGTTCACTCACAGGTATTTAAACGGCCGACTCTCTAGAAAACGTACTCACTAGACACTACCCCGGCGCCTCTCGCCTCACCATGCGGAAAAGTCGGAGAAGCCGCCGCTGCCTTTGAGCTTCTTCTTTGGCGGCGCGGCTTGCCCCTCGGCGGGCGGCGCCGCCGGCGCGCCGTATCGCAGGTGCTCTGCGGCGATGTACTTGCCCACCCCCTCGCGCAGCTGCTTCGGCCGCTCCACCGGGCCGTTGTACCACGCCTGCGCGTCCTCGGCGGCGCGCTTCGCCTTCTCCTCGGCTGCGGCGGCGGCCGGGTCCGCCTCCCTCTCGTGCGCCTCCGCCATCTCGGCGTCGAGGTTGTCAAAGGGGTTGACGAGGACGTTGACTCCGCTGATGGAGACCGCCTGGGTGGGCCGGTCCTCCTTGTCCGTCTTGACCGCCTCGATCCGCGTGAGCGCGTCGAAGCCTCCGACGACCCGGCCGAAGACGGTGTGCTTACCGTCGAGGTGCGCCGCCGACTTGAAGGTGATGAAGAACTGGGAGCCTGCGAGGAGGAGGGCGGGCGGGGGGGGGGGGCGGGGGTCGAGGGCATGGAGGGACGGGCGAGGGCGGGGAAGGGAGGGGCGGGGTGTGGGTCCCGCGCCGTTCGAGTCGGGCCCCGAGTTGGCCATCGAGACGACGCCGCGCCCCTCGTGGCGCAGCTTGTTCGAGATCTCGTCGCGGAAGGGCTTCCCCCACAGCGACACGCCGCCCGACCCCGAGCCCGTCGGGTCGCCGCCCTGCACCATGAAGTTGCGAAGCAGCCGGTGGAACGCGAGGCCGTCGTAGTACCCCTTCTCGGCGAGTCCGAGGAAGTTCTCGCACGTCATCGGGACGGAGTCGGCGTGCAGCTCGAGGTTGAGCGCGCCGTGCGACGTCTGCAGCTGCGCGTACGCCTAACGGGTCGCGTCGTGGACGCGTCGTGGATGTGTCGTGGTCACGCCCCGCCTCCGCGGCGCTGCGCTCGCGCCTTTTGCTTCTTCTTCTTGAGGAAGGCGTAGCGCTGCCTCGACGCCTCCGCCTCGGAGAGCTCGGCGATCGCGTTCGAGGTGACCGGCGTGAGCGCCGTCGAAGTGAAGCCCGCCGAGTGCTCTCCCGTCGTCTGCAGCCAGCGCGGGGCCGCCGACGCGGCCGCCGGCTTGGCAAACTTTGAGGCGGGCTCGAGCCGGGAGGAGGAGGGCGCGCCCTCGGCGGGCGCCTTGCCCGTCGCCTTGGTGAGCGCCGTCGAGGCGGCCGCCGCCGACGCCGCCGCCGCCTCCGCCGCCGTCGAGGAGAGCTTCCCGAGGATGCGCGCCGTCGCGTCGTTGTGCCGCACGCCCGCGCCCGCCTTGTGGTCGACATCGAGCCCCTCGACGACGTGGGAGAAGTGGCCGATCTCGCGCGCACTCCCGTCCGAGGGGTCCTGGATGGTGATGATGTCGCTCTTGCCGAAGGGCGTGCCGTCGATGAGGTCGCGCATCGACCTTGCCTTGAGGTTGAGCTCCTTGACAGCCTCGTGCGAAAAGACGTTGCCGGTCTGGCGGATGGCGACGATGTGCGTGTGCTGGTTGAAGACCTTGAACATGACCGGGCAGTGGTACTTGCCCTCCGAGTTCTTGTGAAAGTTGAGCTTGATCAGGTCCGACGCGGCCAGAGGGCCGCCCGTCACTGGGTGGCGCCGGTACTTTTTCAGGTATGGGACGATGTTGAGGAGGTCAAACACGACGCCGTCGGCGGTGCACATGGGAGAGCCTTCGAACGGCCGCAGTGAGATGGCGCAGCAGTCGAAGGGGAGCACCTGCTCCGACCAGGAAGGTGGGTGGGCGCGGCGCAGCCGCTTTGGGCCGCGGCGGGGCGGCGGGGCGCACACCTTGTAGGGGATGTGCTTGTTCGACTTGGCGCCGCCCCAGTCCTTTTTCCACTCTGTCTGGGTGATGTACAGCTGGTCCTTTGAGTGCTGCTTCTTCCCCATGGCTTTGGTGGGTTGCGGGCGCGGGCTCTCTCGCGCCGCCCTCCGACAAAAGAACTGCTCCGGCGCGAGCTGGGAATAGGACCGCCGCAAGCGGCGTGGCGTGGGGCGGTTGAGCGTCCCTCCGGGGGCCCCTCTGCGCCGGGGAGGCGTTGTTGGAGGCTAGGACGCAAGCGTCCGTCGCCCTTTTCAAACTCGGGGCCCACTCCGCTACATGTACGCTCCGACCCCCGCCCGAATTTGGAGGGCTAAAAGTTTAAGGTGTTGCTGCGCAAAAGGGGTCGGACACAGGGCGCAGCTCATGCTAAGAGCTAGAAGGGGAGCTAGAGAGAACGACTACCCTGTCCCGTTATTGCGTACACCAACACCACAAAAGCTCTCTCTCTCCTGTCCTCACTCAGGGGGGTCACAACTACCGAGTCCCTCGACTGCAGTGCCACCCAGGAGTGGTCGGGCGGTCTCCCGTCATGAGAGAGCCACCATGTGATCCGTATGATGATTCCTGACAACCGCCTCAGTCAACTTTCGTCACAGTTCCCGCTCTGAGAGGAGCTGCGGGTCAGCTCGACAGCTGGAGCTGTGTCGCCGGCGTGCGGCGGCCTGCCTCCGGAGGTGCCTCTGAGGTGGACATTTTTTGGTCGCCGTGAGAGAACGCGGTCGTAATTTAACTCCGGAACTTCAACTAGCTGCCACGTTGCCGACCGAGAGCGGATCTCCTCCTGCTCCGCAAGGAGGGTGGCCAAGGCTAAAGTCTTGCCGGAGCCGCCGGGCGCGTTGACGACTTGGAGAAGGTCGCCCTTGTACTTGTGCTTGTAGAGATGCTCGAGGGGGTGCTTTGTGGGGCGGTGCGCAGCCTGGCCAGCAGTGAGGGGAGGCGCACCCTCACTCTCCTCGGTTGCAATACAGCTTACAGGTGCTATCGTGGATAGAGATTAGACTTTAGAGCAGTGTATAATGCCGCTCACATACGGCTTTAAGGCTTTCGATAAGGGTTAAGGCGTGCTCCCCGCTCGCGCCCAGAGGGCCAGGCGTGCTCATGGCGCGATAATATTACGTCCCGCATTTGGGACGGTGTGAACTCGCCCTGTCTGGCGCCATGGCTCGAGTGAGACCATCATTGAGAGGTCTGCCCCTCGCTGGGTGTCACTCTACTCTTCTCCACTCCCACTGCCCCGACAAGGGGAGCAAGTTCCAAGTACACCCGGTAACGTGTTCGTAACTTGTGCGGCCGCCTCAGGCCTCACCAGGCGTCGAGGAGTTCGCGCAGCGTCGCTTGCATCAGCGGGTCTGCCGGAGTGCCTGGCGGCGGCGCGGATGCAGCGCCGGGATGAAGGCTGTGGAGGACGGGCTCCCGCGGCGTGCGCCCGGCGGTAGCGCCCGGGCTCGGCGGCGAGTGTGGCGGCCCCGAGCGCACCGCTCCAGCGGCTGTCCGCGCGGCCGGGCCGGTGGTGGCCTGCGCTCGCTCGCGCTCCAGTGCGCCCGTGAGGGCGACGAGCTGCGCCGCAGCGGTGTCGGCGGTCGCCGCCGCGGCTGCCGCGCGCGCGTGCAGCTCCTCCGCCTCCCGCTCCCACCCCTCGCGCTCGCGGCGGTGCCGCTCGACGACGCTCTGCAGCCTCGCGGCGGCCGCCGCCTCCTCGCGCCGAAGCCTCTCCGCGCTCGCCGCGGCGTCGGCCCGACGCCCCGCCTCCGCCTAGAGCGAGGGGTCGAGGCGGGGCTCAGGTGGCGAGGCGGACCCAGGCCGGCCGAGGGGGGCGACACAGGGCTGTGACTGGAAGGGGCGTGTGGAAGGCAAGTGGCCTGCTCGGTGCGAGCATCGGCCGCCCGCTCGGCCTCGGCGATCCGGGCGGCGCACTGGGCCAGCTGCGAGCGCGCCTCGTCCGCCTCCTCCGCGGCGGTGGCGGCCTCGATGCGCTGCTCCTGCAGCTCCCTCACCAGCAGCTGGCGGCTGTGCTCCGCCTGGCCGAGGTGGTGGGTCGGGGGGCAGAGGTCGAGGGGCGGAGGGCGAGGGATGCTGGGTGAGGCGAGGGGGCGAGGCGAGCGGAGGGAGGGCGCGTTCTGGTCACGAGGGGCGAGGGCGGGCGAGGGGGGGGCGAGGGTTGGGGAGCTTTTTGCCTCGGGGAGGGGCGGTCGGAGGGGCAGACAGAGGGGCAGACAGAGGGGGCCAGAGGGCAGGTCGGTGGCGGCGCCTCGTCACGGGCCGCCAGCGCCGCGCGCCTCGCCTCGTCTCGCTGGGCAGCGGCTGCGGCGACCTCCTCGCGCAGCGCAGCCTCGCGCTCCTCGGCCACGTGCTGCGCCGCCAGCCGCGAAGTCTCGGCCGCGTGAAGCAGCGAGCTGCCCTGTGTGGCGGCTGCACGAGCTCGCCCCGTCGTCCGCTCGGCCTCCGCCAGCGCCTCCTCGAGCTCTCCGCACCGCCGGAGGAGCTCGGCCCGCTCCGCGTCGAACTCCGCCTCTCGTGCGGCCCCGCTCCTCCGCTCCGCCTCCGCCGCCTCGTCGCATGCGCCCCGCTCAAGCTGCGCCTGCGGGCACGCCGCGGACGTGTCAGGGACGGGTCGAGCGCAACGTCCTGAGAGGAGCTCGCGAGGAGCGCCGCAGCCAGCCGCGCGTTCGCCGTCGTCAGCTGCGCCTGGAGGTCGCGGGCGAGAGCGGCGCTCGCCTCGCGCCCCTCCAGCGCCTCGCGCAGCTTCGCCGCCGCTCGCGCCTCCCCCTTCTCCGCCGACGCCCGCACCTGCAGCAGTCAGGGAGGCAGGGAGGCAGGGAGGCAGGGAGTCAGGGAGGCAGGGAGGCAGGGAGGCAGGGAGGCAGGGAGGCAGGGAGGCAGGGAGGCAGGGAGGCAGGGAGGCAGGGAGGCAGGGAGGCAGGGAGGCAGGGAGGCAGGGAGGCGTCAGCAGGCGGTGTGCCGAGGTGCGCCGCTGCAGCGAGGGTGGGTAGGGGCTGCCTCGAGCAGCCGCGCCGAGTGCTGCGCGCTCTGCCTCTGCAGCTCCTCCGTCGCCTGCGACAGAGCCGCGCTGGCTGAGGGGCGGACGGGCGGACACCGATGCCTCGGCGGCGTCGCTCGCACGTCTCGCAACGCCGCGTCACGCCGCTGCAGCTCCGCCTCGGCTTGCGATGCCGCGTGCTCTCGCTCCTCATGCGCCGACCGCCTGCGGCGAGAGCACGTAGGGCCGGCTGAGGCATAGGCAGCAGCCTCCGTGGCTCGCAAGGCTCACCTCAGCGCGTCCAGCTCTCGCGCCGCGTCGAGCTGCCGCCGCGCGACGTCCCGCGCACCTCTCGCGCCTTGAGCGAGGTGGAGCTCAAACGCTCGCCGGCACGCACGCGCCTCTGCTCTCGCGCGGTCTGCGCTCTCGCTGCTCGCCCTGCGGGCGGGAGAGGCGGCAGAGAGTCGAGAGGAGGCAGAGAGTCGAGAGGCGGCAGAGAGTCGAGAGGCGGCAGAGTGGAGAGGCGGCCGTGTGACGGCGCAGGCAGGCGACACTGGCCGGACTGTGGCAGGTGGGAGCCAGTGGGAAGGATAGCTGGGCAGCGCACGCGATGGCTGACGCCGCCGACTCGAGCGCGCCCTCCAGGCGGGCCTGCACTCGGCCTCCCTCCACGAGCCAAGCCTCGACCTCCGCGACCAGCTCGGCAACGCTCGGCGAGCCGCGCAGCAGCCGCACGCCCCGCGCTGCTGCTGCACGAAGGCGGTCACGGCCCTCGCGGGCAATCGCAGCGGCCTCCTCCATGTGAGCATCAGCAGCTGATTCGGCGTTGGGGTCGGTGGCGGCGGCAGCGGCGCCGGCGCCCTCTGGCGATCCCTGCACCGGCTCCGCCGTCAGTCCTTCTTGCACCGCCGAGGTGACGACGGACGCCCAACAGCTCATGACGTGGACAGCCGGCAACACGGCGAGACAGCTCAACCACGGCCAGACGTTGGCGTTTGGCGGGCCGCTAATGCGGTGTGCCGGCTGGCCTCAGAGTCAGACTCAGAGATTCGAATTTTACTTTTTTTTGCGATACAGACGCTTCTCTGACCCTGGGGGGGGGGGGGGGGGGCTCTCAAACTTGCACACGTTTGGCCTAACCTGGTACGACCCACGACCTCGCTCAGTTTGCGTTTGAGCACAGTGATCTGGTAAGCCTCGAGCATGGAGGAGATCACCGACTATGACACCGACTGCGAAAACAAGTTCGCCTTTGCTCCCAACAAATTCTTCACGCCGCCGGTGCTGCAGCAGCAGTCAACTTTCATCGACATCTTCTCCGACGTCGACCTGCAGATGCTCCTCGTTGCCCATATGTACAATACCAACACAGAGGATTGCTTTCTACGCGCGATGGCTAGGTTGATGGGCGCAGCCAAGTTGTTCCGTGTGCAGGTCGAACTGCCGCATCCCAACGACATGCGTGCACTCATACATCACGTACAGGTGTCGTCGGAAGGTGATACCGTGCAAGTGCTTGGTGTTGATGACGCGTTTACCAAGGAGCTGGCGGTGGCAGTCAAAGAGCTGTGGTGATATTCGGCGGACGGGTATTTAATTTTCTTCCTCTCGTTTGACATTCCCGACGGGGGAGGGAGGGAGGGAGGGAGGGGGGGGGGGGAGGGAGGGAGGGGGGGTGCAGTAAATGGGAGGGGGGGGGTCTAAATTTAATATATATTTTTTTCTTATATCTGTCCGTTACTTTAGTTTAATGAGGCGCGGACGCTTAGTCACATGCGTGAAGAAGTAGTCACCGCATTCGGAGACCACACGCGGACCAGCCATGAGGCGATAACTCGGAATGAGGAGACGATTTCGAACGTACGTAGCACCTCCACCCTTCGGCTTACCATTATCACCCAACTCGTCCATTACAATTGGCAGTTTCAAGGTGATGTGGCGTGGAATGGTAACACTTTGCGCTAATGGCGCGACAATCGTTCGGTGTGCAGAGGGGTCAGCATGAGGAAGAACACTTGGTCGCCACCCTGTCGTCAACCACGAGTTGGCGCACGGACGGAGGTTGATGGGGTCTTCTGCACAATTAAAAGCTCTATCCGCGGGCCACTTGTGCTGCTCTGAGGGCTCTAGGGATGAAAAGATGCCTTCCTGGCGTTGGACGGAGAAGAAGGCGTTGGTCAGAGGGGCTGCCTCATCATTCTTACATATTCGGTGCTTGGAGGGGGTCCACCGCTTCTCGTACGTCATGCTCGACGAGCAAATCGTTGTATTGCCACCACATACCCAACCCAGGCACATGGGTTGACTATGTGGTGGTGGGTCCCGTCGCACCGTCATGCTCGAATCGTTAATTGTACCGCCAAATGCGCGCATTGTGATCTCACTGTGGTACCCGGGGTCACAGTCGAAACGTTCGAGTGATTCGGCTGCGCTCCAATTCTCGTACACGTCGGCTAAGACTTCCATGCACTCACTGGCGTGCTTGGGGAGTAGATGAGGCACTGGTGTGTCTTTCCACTGCAGCCATCCACATTGCACATGCAGTGTCACAGCGACGCTGAGGCTCGCTGCGCGCGGGATGGGCTGAGCGCCGGGAGCGGGCTGGTGCTGTCGGTCACGGCGGGTGAGGCACGTGGAGGGAGAGGAGGGAGAGGGAGGAGGGATGGTGATGGAGAGGAGAGACTGGAGGCTGGCGTTCGGCGTGCGCGGGCGTCTCGCAGCGTGGCGTCGCGCGGGCGGGTGGGGGGCAGAGAGTCAGTGGTGAGAGTTGTGGAGGTGCACGGGGTGACGGGTGAGCTCGCTGAGGGTGCCGCGCGCCATGGCGCGTCGACGGCGAGCTCGGCGGAAAGCAGGCGGAGCGAGAGCTGGTCGCCTGGCCGGCCAAACTCTGAGGCTGGACGTCTCGAGCCACGTCTTCTGAGGCTGACCCCTCCCCAGGGGCGAAAAGAAGAATTCTGATGCGCACTGGGCCTCCTCCCAGCCCTGGCCCTGTTCACGCGCGCGCGAGACGTGCAGACAGGGTTGCCAGGTGAGAGCGAATGGCGCGGTTCACGGCCTCGCACAAGAGAGAGTGAGAGAGAGAAATGCGCTCTGCCTGGTGGGAGATAAAAGTAAAAAGATTGTGAGCATTTCTGGGCGAGTAGGTTGTGCGGTCGACGCTGCCGCGCGCGACCTTGCGCGCGTGGCGGCGCAGCTTGAGAACGGCGGTGGGCGAGAAGCCGCCGCCGAACGAACGTCTCGTGGAGCAGCAGGTTGAAGTTGTTGCGCTTGACAAAGATCGCGTCATGGTAGAAACCGCGATGCGCCTTGACGTCGCCGTGGCCGTTCTTGTGGGAGAAGGGTTGGCCGGGCTGCCCGCGCGCCTTGCAGCCCATGTTTAGGCGGCGGGCCTTCTCCTCGGTGCTGCCGAAGGCATAGGAGTGGCCAACGGAGGGCGGCGTGCCGCCACTCGAGGCGTTGCCAACGCCCGTCGAGGAGGTCTTGAGGAGGGGCGTCCAGAGCTTGACTTCATTCACTTCATCGCATCCTCCCGGCCCTGCATGTGGGGTTCTGCGAGGTCGGCGCGAACAAGCTCCTCTTGTAGCTCGATCGGTCACACCGCCATCGCCGCCGACGTCTCCCAGGGAGATGATGGAGAGGGGGGACGACACTGCTCGATCTACCCTCTGGGGTCCCTCAGCAGCGTGCACCTCGATCCTGTACCGTCTTTGTTATGACCCCCCCCAATGAACACACCAGTGAGGGAGGGCGAGACGATCGAGGGGTCCCGTACCATGCGGAATCGACCCTATCAAGTGCTCAAGTCACAAGTGCTCAAGGTCGGCGCTTGTACCCCTCATTGTCCTGCCGGGTGAGCTCCGGTTTCTCCTTGTCACCGTGCACGACCGGCGCGTTGGCCGGGGCGCGCATCCGCCCAGGCGGCGAGGACGCCGTCTCTCTCTCTACCACAGGCAGGTACACTACAAAGAAGAGAACTCAAACTCCCACACAAGGGGCGGAGTGTTGTGGTGCTAGCGTCGGCCGTGTATTTTATGCGAGGGCGTCGGCTAGCTTGTTTCGATTCTTTGTCGTGTGAATCGTGCGTGTCCGACCGCCTGATCTTGGAATTCTTCTTTGGATTATCGGACGCACGACGTTGTCGCCGCCCGCAACCTGGCTTGCCATCCATGATTGGCCTGAAAGGCAACAGAAGCAGATGCAGACACATGCCGGCCGTGGCTCTCTTTGTCCTGCTCCTTACGAGTATCTTCGCCGCAGGGACGCTACTGCGCTCGCCACATGCTTCTGCAATAAACGCTGATGCACTGCATGCGTTTGTCAACAAGCAGGTTGGCAAGGCCAGACGGAGTTGGGACGAAGCCAACGAAGAGTTTGCGCACGCAATCGCACGGGCTCTGGTCAGGGAGGCGCCTCGTGGCTGATGATCATGCCTGTTTGTGAGGGCGGGCTTTCAGATATTCTCCGGTCATGACTCATGTTCACACGAGCACGTCAGACCGCAGCAGCTCACACCAACAGCACGCATGCCTCCCGACACCTGCGCTCGGCAGCACACACACACAGCCGCCGCGCTGCAATGGGGGGCCCGCTCAGCCGAGCTCGCTGGAGCCAGCAAGTGCACCGGTGTCCGATACCACTCCCGAACACGCCCACGCCTCACCACGCATATACGTCAGTATCTCACGCTCTGGCGCTCCTCTCACCTCTGCGCGGACCATGGCGCGGCCACTCGGGACTGCCACACAGGCACAGCGCGCAGCCATCCAGGGCGTTTACGTAGGTTTCCCCATCACGCAAAAGTATACAACATCAAGATTATGTGTATGTCTCACGCAGATCGAGTCAACGCACAACGGTCAGTCAGTCATCGTAGTCGTCATCCCCCTGCGCCAGTGCTAGGTCGGCACCCACCATAGCGTTTGCGGCCGCCGGTTCGAGGCTGGCTGCGGCCGCTTGCAGCTCCGAGGCCGATGCGCTGTCTATTCCCGGCGCGCGGCGCTTGCTCCCTGCCGCCGCTCCGCCGCCGCCGCCCGTGCGCTTTCTGGCGGGTGCTGCCGAAGCGCCCGCGGCGTTGAAGGCGTGTACGGTGCTCTGGAGGAAGGAGAGCTCCTCCGCCTCGACGCACTTGGCCCTGCAACGGAGAGGCGGGGGCCTCGGCCAGCTGCGCCCGCCGGCGCGGGTTGGGGCGTGCGCACAGGTGGGCTGTGGTGAGCAGCTTCGCCCCCTCCTCCTCCGCGACCGCTGCCGCCCGATCGACCAGGTCGCCGATGAAGCGCTCGAGGCATCTCGCTGCGAGCAGGGTCGTGCTGCGTCGGGACGCGCGCATCTCATCTCGTGTGGGCACGGGGCAGGGCCCTCACAGACGACGGCAGGCACTGCCGGGCCGATCCGGCCGACGTCGTCGTCGCTCTGCATCAGCTTCTTTATTTTCGCCTGTGGCCGCCACCGGTCGGTGTGATGGGCGGGGTGCAGGCGCGCGACATCAGCGAGCGCGCGAGCGGACCGCTGGGAAGACGGGCTTTGATGGAGCTGCCATCTGTCTGTTTCTGACGCTTGCGGAAAGAAAAGCAGCACTAATCACTACTCTTATCCCTGTGTTGCTGTGTGCTGCACGCTTTGCGAGCGGGGCGGGGTGCGCACTGTCCCTCTGTGTTCGTGCGTCGCCCATCTCTCCTGGAGATGTCTGCTCTATTTATTTATTTATTATCCCTGTGTGGTGGCGGCGTGCCGTCCTCCCATCCCTCCCTTGGGTTGTCTGTTTTCTTTCTTTCTTTTTACTCTCGCGCGTGGCGTTCAGGGCGGCTCGCACACGCACACACACACACACACACACACACACACATGCATGCATGCACAGACACACAGCCCCTTCCCCTCCCCCCTCAAGACCTTCCCAAGGGCGAGGACACGCGCAGGACGCACCTCTAGTGAGGCCCGCATAGTATGTGGGAGACTCATGCCGCCGCCCCTGCCACCCCTGTGTCAGTGTGCCCGTGGTAGTGAGAGACTTGCGGGTGAGAAGCCGGAGGAAGGTCGCTAGACTGAGATGAGACCGCCAGTGGAGTTGGGATTCCACCGTGCACCGCGCTGCGAGCCTGTCGTGTCCCTTGTCAGGAGCAGGAGAGCCCACCTGTCCCCCTATCGTCCTTCCAAAATCCTGCTCGTGCAGGTCCTGGTGTGGACCCTGTCCTCCTCCCCTATCCCTCGTTTGGGTTGTCTGTTTTCTTTCTTTCTTTCTTTACTCTTGCGCAAGAGCAACAACAACACAAGAGGCATCTAGTCAGATGTGCAGCGTGAAACGCGCTTTTAGTCAGATGTGCAGCGTGAAACGCGCTTTTGCGCCCCCCACGGCGCCCGAAGTGCGCCTTTGCTCGCACAGCAGACGGGTCGCGAGCCGGGAAATCGCAGCAGTCTCGCTGAATCTCGCCGCCCCAGGCTCTAGAGGTGGAGAGACTGGCCTTCCTGGTCAAGCAGGACATGCCCCTGCTAGCATGCCAAGCAAGGGCTCGCGGGTCGAGGTTGTTATTGCGCCACACCACCCTGCCACCGCTGCCACCGAAGGCAACACGGTGCTCCGTGAAACGGCCACTTTGTTGTCGTAGTCAGGCTGTCTTGTGTATGCGGCTCCTTAAAGCTAAGAAGTGTGTATAAGGGGCTAGGAAGAGGGACCCAAGATATCTTCTGAGCTGTGCACAGGGGAGGACCTAGGTGACAAAGACCCAAGAGAAGGGGCCGGAGAGAGTGAGGTGAGGCCCGAGCGGCCAACGGAGCAACGGTGGTGGCAGCGTGGCGCACCGTCAAGCTCGGGCACAGCCGGTTTAAGCCAAAGTGAAGTAACTCATATATATCTGAAATCATATGAGTTACACCTCGGCCTTCTAGGAGCTGCTAGCTGAGTGATTGGCGCGCTAGAAGCCTCCCCGAGAGTGCCTCCCCGACCGGCCCCGAGGAGCTGCTCGGAACTCCAACTTTAACCCTTCATAGCTCCAAAACGTACCTGCGGATTTCTTCCCTATTGCTCCTGCATATGATCTGTGGGTCCACCCCACTCACATAACCAAGCCTCAAGGAATGGCGTCTAGGCGTTCAGAAATAGTTTCTTGTACACACCTATACACATCAGACGACTCAAGGATGTGATGCGCAAGAGCAACAACAACACAAGAGCCATTTGCAATACGTGTGTGTACTGGGCTGGGTTTTTAGGCATTGTGGGGTTGGCACTCCCATCGACCCTCATGACCTCCTGCGGTCTCTGAGATGGACACCAGTGGGTGTGGGACCACAGCCAGGATACACTCGAAGGCTGGGTAAGCAGTAGAGGTCGATACTCGACGCGTCCCACATGGTCTGTGTCGCTGTCGGCACGCTGTCGACAGGACGTCGAGCGACACCGGTGGCAGTGCCACCCAGGAGTGGTCGGGCGGTCTCCCGTCATGAGAGACCCACCATGTGATCCGTATGATGATTCCTGACAACCGCCTCAGTCAACTTTCGTCACAGTTCCCGCTCTGAGAGGAGCTGCGGGTCAGCTCGACAGCTGGAGCTGTGTCGCCGGCGTGCGGCGGCCTGCCTCCGGAGGTGCCTCTGAGGTGGACATTTTTTTGTCACCGTGAGAGAACGCGTTCGAATTTTCACTCCGGAACTTCAACTTCACACGCGCACCGGCCAGGGCTACAATAGTGCCAGTGAGGGGAGGCGCGAGTCGGAAGGCCGCGACCGTCAAGTGTTTTCCCAATTTTCCTTTTACTAGTATCGCTGTGAACCCAGCCACGTAAGAAGAGCCACATACACTGAGAGGGAGACACACCCCGCTCTCCCTTTTCAGTTTCTCCCACAGTAAGCTAAAAGTTCGTTCGTAACCGTCTGAATTCGGACGCCTGTGCTACCCTTCACACACGCTACACAGCCGGAGGGTAACACTAACGACAAAGGGTCTCTCTCTCTCAAAGGGTGCGAGCGAGTGACGGGTAATCGTGGCCGTGGCCAAGAAAATCAAAATATTAAGCTCTCTATTTGGACCACGGCGAAAAACTCGACGGTTTTGGGCGTTTCAGAGCACGCTGAATCGATTGGCTAAGCTACAACTCTCCCTCTCCCTTTCCTTTCATAATTATTGACTCAAAACTCGATGATCGCGCGATTTTGGAGAAGTTCTAGCTTAGCCAAAACGTTCCTCTCGAAAAGTTGACTTAGGAAGCCGCAAACGGCAGCTTCTCAAAGCCTCACCGGCGCTTATTCTCTTGATCTTTCAAAACCTAGGCCTGCGGCCAAAATTTTCTAAAGGCCGCTGCGCGGCCAGCGCAATGCGCAACCAGTCAGCGACCGACAGTCAGCAGCAGACTGTGACGATTGGCGGCCTCGCGCCCTCAGTCGACCTCCTCTACCAACTCCCCTGCCCAGCCCATATGCCTCATCCACGGTGGCGCAACCACTCGCGCAGGGAGAGAGAGAAAGTCGGCGATCTGCGCCGTGCAGATGAGCTCCGCCTCGTCTGCGTCGAGGACGCCCATCGCAGGGCTGTCATAGCGCCATTGCATATGACGTACTGCATGTTGTTCATTACTTCGCAGGTGCCAAAGTCGAGGATAATCTCACTCAGCGATGGCGAAGGCTGCACTCCCGGCCGGCGGTAGGAGGGATGAAGGTTAATGTACTTCGCAGTGTACGGTGCCTTCCGGCGCGAACAGTGCCCGGGACGAAAGAGGAGGCGACGTCTCCCTCGTCCATGGACGGTGTAGCCAGCTTGAGAGACGGGAACGAACGGCGGTGAATCGCCGACAGCGGCGCCTTCGTTCCTTTCCAGTGAATCGCCGGCGGGTGCCCTGAGCGTTGTATCTGTCGGCCAGTTGCCGCACCGCCGGCAGCAGCTCCGCAGCAGCCGCCCAGATGGTGGCGCCGGTTAGGACAGGAGCGAAGCCGCGTGGACACGGCTGAGCGACGCCGTGCGTCTCGTTTGGATGCTGCAGGCATGCCGGGCAGCGCGCGTGCTCCATACCGCGTCGGGCGCCCGCCGAAATCTTCGATTTCTTCGGCGTAGGGGACCAAAAACCCCTGAAAATTTTCTTCGCCTGCGGCGGGCAATTAATTTCGACACTTTCGCTTTCACAGCTCTTTCACACGACTTTATCCGTCACTCGCTCGTGCGAAGAGCCGATCCTTCAGAGCAGGCCGAGGTTGGCCTTGGCGTCGAAAAGGGTGGGCTGCGCCATCTCCCAGAACATCGCGAGGAGGACCGGCTGGAACAGCAGCCGCACGGCGTGGCCAATCACCGGCGTCTCGACGGAAAGCGGGAACTTTGCGTTGTGCGTGAGCGCGTACAGGTTTGCGGGCGTCACGAGGACGGTGAGCAGGAAGAGAGTCAGCGCTGCGTCTGAGGTGACGGGGCCGAGGGAGGAGGGCAGCGCGATGCCGGCGAGCGCCGCGCCGGCGCCGAAGAGCATCCACGCGCCGCCAAAGATCTCGACCACGCCGGTCCAGTAGACGTTCGCCCTGGGTGAGAAGGGCGTGTACCAGAAGCCCCAGGTACCGTTCGGAGGCGTGATGTTCTCGAAGCCCTCCGCCTCGGTGAAGTGGGCAACGCCGGCCGCGAGGTAGATGAAGCCGAGGAGCGGCCACGTCGGCCGAGAGAGCTGCCACAGGCCGCTGCCTCTCGCGGCATCAAACACAGGGCCGGCCAGCGCCACGGTGAGGCCGCCGATGGCAGCCGAGATCGCGACGACAGTGAGGGCCTGGAGCGGCGCCGGCAGAGTGTTGATCCCAGAGAGGCTCGGCAGCTCACGGCCCTCGCCCACGCCGGCCACAATCTCGCCCGCCCTCTCTCGCTGCTCAAGCTCGGCGATGGAAAGTGTGGCGGTGCCTGCGCGGCGCAGAAGAGGCGCACCAATCCATTTTGGTGATGCGCGGAGCGGCGTCACGCAGAGGCTCGAGGCAGCTCGCGGGAGCGCCAGCAGGAGAGGGAGGGCGCGGAGCATTGATCGGCGCGAGGCTTCTGCGGCACCAGGTCACCAAACAGGGGCGAGGAAAATATGTCAGGCAGGGTACTATCTGTTGTGGTTGGGCGCAACCTCGACAACCTAAACCTCGACATATCGAGTTTTTCGACCAGGTCGTACGCGATAGACTCACTCCTTACACGCTCAACTTACCGATAACGGCGTTGCCGCGGAGAGCACCAAGGGGCAGCTGCAGCCAAGCCGTCCGAGGGAGAGACTAACCCGGGTTAGCGCCGGGTTAGTCTCGGGTTACCATAACCCATGCTGACGTATGCCCCCCAGCCGCATGGGTTAGTGCTGGGTTAGTGCCGGGTTAGTGCCGGGTTAGTGCCGGGTTAGTGCCGGGTTATGGTAACCCATTCTGACCCGTGCTGACCCGTGCCGGGTTAGTGAGCACTAACCCGCGCTAACCCGCGCTTACCGATAGACTCACAAATATGCCGGCGATTCTTTCAACATAACTCCCTCGCACAACACTGGGCCGCTGCGCCTCCCTTGGGTTGTCCGTTTTCTTTCTTTTTACACTGGGCACGGGACTGGCGCGCACTGGCACTAACACAGGTACACAGAATTTTCGAGGCGAGCTGTGCGTCTGAACCACACACGTGTCCCTCCATTCACACTCTCCCAGTCCTTCCTGGTCTAGTGCCCGACCTTTCCGCCCGTCGTGCTGAGTAATACTCACTGAGTTGGTCGCACCTCCGTGCATCTTCGTCCTTTAGACGTTTCACCTAGAGCAAGCGGGGCGGCACGCCCCTTGGTCCACCCGCCAGCCGGGTGGGGCTTGCACGTGGCAGCGACTCGACTGGTCGCGTCAGCCCCTTTGTGAAGCCCGACACGCTATCCACTGCTCAGGCCATGCCTGACACGCCCACCAAAGCCTTGGAGCATTCCGAAACTCGGGATCTCCTACATGGCGCTAAACAGAGTGCTGATGCAATGGTAACGGAATGCAAGTTCGTCCCGGCCGCCGCCCTCGACGGGCTCGCGGCGAACGTGGCCACTCTCCTCGAGTGGAGCCGACTGCAAGACAACGACGGCATCGGTTTCTTCCTCATCACGAATGGCGCTGTCTACATAGACAACATTGCGCCCACTGAGAGCGAGTTGCCCCCTGCTCATGTCGGCGAGCAACGGCGGACCAACGCCGAGCGTGCACGCGTCCTCGAGATCCTTGAGCTGTGCATCGCGCACAACGTTTCCTTCATTGTTGAACACCCTGCGCCACGCTGTGTCGAGATCTCCGGCCTGCGCGGGCTGTTCGACGAGAACGGCCGCGGGTCTGGCTCTCTCTTCATCACCTCCGGCTTCCGACGCCTATACGAGCTCGGGGCCAAGCTGACTGCCTTTGCCCAGTGCGAGTTCGGCGCCTCCGTTCAGAAGTACACCGCTTTCGCGTACTACGGCGACGTCGGGAAGGTTGTCCAGCAACTAAACGGCATCTCTTGTGGGCACGACGACCACGTCGGCAAGGCTGCCGGGCGTGATTCAGCCGGCGCCTAGATGATGGTCTAGAGGTAGTGTCCACTCAGCGACCGATACCAGTAACACATTACCGGGGGAATTAGACACAAAAAGATACGCACAACCGACGCCCGAAGTGCCAAGAAGGACGTCATTAGTACGAAACCTCAGAAGGCCATGGGCGCAGAGAACATTCCCCCGAGAGCAAAAAATAAAAAGCACAACCAAACCTCCTTCCCAGGTTACCCCTGCCAAATGTCGCCGCTCTCGGGGCATGCTATCCTGTGTAAGCAGGGCAGGTGGGGGAGGGGGGCAGTCCCTCTGGTCTGATACTGGTGTGGTTCTGTCCCCAGCGTCGGAGGCAAGGGCGAAGCTAAGAATATTTAAATTTTTTCATACAACAAGAGAGAGAGCATCTCGTGTGCCAGACGAAGCTGCAACGCAGGTGGCAGACTCAGCAAGGCTTGATGGCCAAGCGGGCAGAAGAGTGGCTGGACAACGCGACAAACCTACTTAGTACGATCTTTAAGATCGCGTGGACTCCGGCCCCTGCATCACGCCTCACCTATGCGCCCGTGGTGAACGCGGACGGGACTTATCGGTGGTCCAAGCCGTATCAACCGGTCACGGTACGTGGGTACGACCCAGGACGTAAGAATAGGCGCGTGCACTGCAGCAGCAGATCACGAACCAGGGGCCAAGAGACTACAGGGGTGGGAGTACCTGGTACCTTTAATAGTAGTATTAAGTTCTTACTTACTATGTAATTAAGAAACATGGATGATGCTGCGCGCGCCGCCGATAAGATTAATGCCGCATCGTGCAACGTCGTGCAGAGCAGAAGGCCCGTAACAAGCAGCGGATGGCTTTTCGCAAGATATCCAAGGGCGGGCGAAAGCGCATCCACGGTGGACGGGTACGGTTGACTGCGCCGGTCAACCATAGTGCGCCTGGTCATGCACCTCTTAGGCGCCTCTAGTACACAGAGCGTGACCGTGGGTTCGAGAGATTAGTAGACCAGACGTTCCAATGATACACTGAGTGTTAGAATTCTTTTTCTTACTATGTAATTAATAATGGCTGGCGTGGTTAACTTCATGACCAAGCTAGCAGGTGCGTGGCTAGACGACGCGACGAACCTATTTGATTATCTCTTTTAAGCTGGCGTGGACTCCGACCACTCTCACAGACCGAACGTCCTCTCAGGGGGTGTTCGGTCCGGGAGCACCGTCGAGCCGTTACGACCCATTCAAGAGGACAAGGCGGGCACTGTATGGCCGAGCAGATTGGCGTGGGGGCATGCATGCCCGCCGGCACACTTGCCGGCGGGCGCCGGGGTCTCTTCGGGTAGGGGGGTATGGGAGCGGGACACTGGGGGGGTATGGGAGCGTGACACGGAGCGTGACACGCCTGGGTTCGGCTGGAGGGATCCCCTACCCCCGGGGAGGCGGAACCCACAGTACCTCGCATACACACATATATGCTTCTCGTCGTCGCGGCCGCGTGCGGCCTTCTCCTCGCGCCGGCGCCTGCTACGCGCCACCTCGCGCCGGCGCCTGCTGCGCGACACAGTCTTCCCGGGCTGCCGCGCCCGTGCACGCCCCTCCGGGCCGGCGTCGTGGCCGCGAGCGAGGAGGCGCCTCTCGACCCGCGTGCCGCGCTGGATGAGGTCGGCACGCTGCTGGAGAAGGTCCGTGAGCTGTGGACCGACGGCTCGTCGTGGTCAGCCGAGGAGCGCGCCGTTCGGCAGCGGGAGCTGGTCGACCAGTACTTCCGCGTCTTTGTGCCCGCCGTCGCCTTTTCCGGCGTGCAGCTCGGCCTGTCGCTCGCGGCGTTCGGCACGCTCCTCGCGGCGCTCAACCTCTCGCACCGCGGCTACGACGACGTGGCGCGGCTGGCCGAGGCGTTTGCGCCGCTGGCGCCACTGGTCGATGCGATCAACCCGACGCTCGGCAACGCCGCCATCGCGCTGGCGGGCGTGGAGCTGCTCGCGCCGCTGCTGATCGCCGCCTCGCTCGCCGCCGCGCCCGCGGCGGCCGCTTCGCTCAAGGCGCGGCTCGAGGGCTGGGGCTTGCCCGATCGGCTGCTGCCGCCCACGGACCCGCCGCCAGCGTCCTGAAGGCGCGACACACGCGACCGGAAGGCGAGGGCGCGCGCGGAAGCCGCCCGGCAGTCGGAGAGTCGCGGCACGTCGCCCGCGGGTTAAAATGGACTATGGACTATGGCCCTTTGTGAACTTGGATCGGTGCATGTACGTTACAAGCGAGGTGCGCCGAGCGCGCGGATGATGGCGCTCTGAACTCTCTATATATAGTGACCCCGCCACAGGCCACACTCAGCACTCAGGCGCATTTTTTGCGACGGTGTGTGTGCGTTTGCCCAGTGTGCGCGCGCCGCAACGCACACACATCCCGCCGCGCGCGCGAGCCGAGCGATATTACGCTCTGCGCATACATCGAGATCTCTGCGGGACACCAGTAGATTTGTTGAGTGGAGATCGTAGATGCCGATCAGAGATCTTCCACAAACAGCATCATCTCTCACAAAACTCAGAGATCTTTAACTGAAGATAGAGATCTTGAGCTGCCGCCATCGGCACCTCGAGATCTCAGGCCGGAGACGGAGATGTTGACTTCGCGCCAAAGGCGCCTCGAGAATCGTGTGGCCGACTGGAGATTGCAAAATGGCGCGAAAAGAGGGTGGAGATCCGCTTGAAGGTGTGAAAGGAAAAGAGCATCCCTTGGAAGGACGTCGATCCCCCCCCTGACACGCCTCCCCCACGAGATTGGAGATTGGAGATCGGAGAAAAGATCGGAGAACGCGCCTCCTTGTTATGAGCGCGCCGCGATGGAGCTCACCTCGTTAGTCTCTGGCATGACCGAGTTCGCCGCGAACCTGTATCCTCTAAAGACCGAGGAGGAGCTCGTGGCGCTCCTGAGCGGCATGCACCACTTCCCACCTGGCGTGCCTGAGCGTGCCCGTCGCGTCCATGAGCGGCTGCCCGCCGGGTCGGCACTCTGCTCCTCTGACGTCGGCGTGCTGATTGACCGGCTCGACACGGTGGGAGGCCTTGACGGGTTGTACAAGCATCTCGCGCACACCAAGGAGGACCTCTACATTTCGTTCCGAGCACCAACACGGAGGCCGCGGAGCAGGCGTGTCGAGCCGCCCTCTCGCCCTGCACGCGTTGCCCCCTTGTCACATGTACAACATGCAC